CTCCGTCTCCCACTTCCGGACCCTCTTCTGATAGCCTTCTAGGTAGTTTGACAGCCCTGCTCGCTGCCCGGTGGACCGGGCCACACGACATTCATTTAAAATTACGCCATGGTGTTGAATGTACTTGCACCCGGCCGGCCCGAGAGATCCTGAGAACGTGCCGGACTGGTACCGAGACGGGTAGAAAGATGTTTCCTTAGCTCTAGTGTCAGATCTGTCTGGTCCTGAGATAGCGTGTCAGTGACAAATCCGCGATCCGATTAAGCATTCGACCTGTTCACAACCACGCGGCCAGTGAAAGAATGTAAGGATCAGGGATACTGAAATAAAAGAAACTACTCTGTCCTCAAAAATGCACTTTTAGGAAGAAAATTGACCAACAAATAGCTAACTGCAATTCTGATACATATGTTTTTTTCCTGAACCCCACTTGTGTAAGTGTAAATAGTTTAAAGCTGAACACATTATTTTCATATTTATCTTAAAAGTGTAGTTTTCTTAATAAAAGGACTATAGGATAAGAAACCTATTAATAGGTCCTTTGTTTAATTCTGAAGATTAAAAACATACAAAATGCTTTATAGTAAAAGTTAATATGCAAATCGGTTTATCTTGATTTACATGAGGCTCGTTGAAACAGGTAGAATTTGCCAAAGTTGAGTGTAGCAAGCACTTTCATTATGACAATCATGCCACTTGCCCCTTTTAGCTGATAAGGAAACAGGTGATAGAGGAATTACACCACAGTTGGCAAGGGTAGCTCTTTGCACAGTACTGCCAGTTCGTTAAATTTAGTGATTGGCCAGATTAAAACAAAATGCCCCTAAGGTGTTGTAGTACAGCAAGGCTGGGAAAGGAGAGCAGGGGAAATTCATGAATGTTTCCCACATTATTCTACATTTAGACCCTTGAGAAACGACACGCAGAATTCAAAGGTGGTCCTTTAGATCTTTGAGTCTAGGAAGTCAAAAGCAGGTAACTGCTAAGAACAAACTCCTGTTGTAGAAAGTCCAGGAACAACTTTGATGTTTTTTTACTGCATTTATATAAATGAGACAATCAGTTGAGTGTGTCATTGAAAGTATTTTCAAAGTAGTCATTTCAATGTTGGAGGGTGACATTTCAAGGCATTTTCTTGCTATATCGGTAACACTGTTTGAAACCTTTTCTTAGGTAAGTTTTATAGCCCAAGAGAAGTTACAGCCTGGAATGGTAGAACACACCTGTGATCCCAGCACTTAGGAAGCAGAGGCTAGAGGATTGCCACAGGATTGAGGCCAGCTGACCAAAAAAAAGAAAGGAAAAAAAAAAGGAATAAAAGAAATTACAAACTTACTACTATATAATACATGTATTACCATGTCTTGGCTCTTGGTACTGCATAAAACATTTCTGCATGTTATTAGATAAAAGATAAGTGAGTTATCAGTGTAACTTCTGATAATGTTTATTGAGGAAAGGTTCAAACAGTAACAGTGAAAGTTTAGCAGGTATTTTTTCCCTGGGGATCAAACCGAGGGCCTCAGGCATACTTGGCAAGTGCTCTGTGACTAAGCCTCACCCACACCCCCTTCTCTGCGGTCTTCGGTCTGTGACCCCTTTAAATGTCTCGAGGATGAGGGGAGAATATCACCAAAGCACACAGTTCCATGGTCAGCGATCACATTTTTGGGTTGTTCTGTTTGTTTGTTTGTTTGTTTTGTTTTGTTTGAGACAGATTCTCACATGTATTTGAGGCTGACCTGGAACTCACTATGTAGCCCAGGCTGGTCTTGAACACACAGGATCATCCTGCCTCAGCCTCCCGAGTGCTGGGATTACAGGTGTGCGCCACCACACCCAGCGATCACATATTTTTTTTGGTATTGGGTTTTGAACTTGGGATTTTGGGCTTCCAAGGCAAGCAGTGGAACCACTGAGCTAAATTCCCAGCCCTGTTTTGTTTTTTGTTTTTGAACTCGGGATCTTGAATTTGAGAGGCAGGCAGCAGAATCACTGAACTAAATCCCTGGCCCTTCTATCATGTATTTTGAATGATCAGCTCATTGCCAAAAATGGGCATCATGCAGAACATACCACAACTGCTAATAGATCATTAAATACTGCCCATTTTCCACTAAAATGTTAAAGCATAAAACAAAATGAATCAAAAACCAACTAAAATGAAATAAATTGCTCCTTGGCCTTTTGGCTAAGATAAAATATAAAGCACCATAAATGAAAGTATATAAATTATATAATTTAGCCAATTCAACACAAAGTCTCCCATGGAAGAAAAAAGAATATATTGTGAGATCTGCTTCTAATTATTTTTCTGTGGTGGATGCTAAAATCATCTGATTGTCTACCATTTATTTTCCCATAATGCTGCCTTACTTGCTGTGTACTTAAAGGGAAAAGTATAAAGGTTAACTCTGGTTAACATTTTCTGGTTACTTTTATTGCTGTTGTGATCAGCAAATTTCAGTTACTACACAGTTGAGCTAATTGTCCTGCTACCTTTGAAGTACCATTTTCACTGTGAAAGAACTTTGAGTTGTTCCTGTGCTTTTTATTCAGTTGCATTGATCTTTGCTTTTATTTTTGGGATAACAATACCTTTAGTTTTTATATATTTATAATTTGTAATATGATAGGCAATCACCCATTTTTTTTAAAACCACTATATATTTTTTCCAGATGTGCAATTCAAGTCTGTTTCTTCAAGAAAAAAAAAATCCCAGTAAGGTCTTGATTAGATTATGACTATGTTTATTAAATAACTTAGTGACGTTTTGCCAATGAAATTTCTATCCAGAAACATAGATTTTGGTGTCCCTTAGTCATACAAGTTTTGATTGATTGATAAAATGCTGATGATGGAACCCAAGACCCCCTACATGCTAAGCTAACAACTCTACCACTGAGCTATACTGCGAGCTCTTAGGATTTTATTAATATACCTACTCTTTTCTGTTTTTTTTTTCACATGGAATAAAAGTATTTTAAATTTTAAATATCCAAGTTTGCTTAATTTTCTTCTGTTTTTGTTTTAATTGCTTTGGATTAGAAAACAGATTAAGAGTTTAAAAATTGGGAGTAAAATAAGAATAAATACATTCTGAGTATCTGGAGCTGTTTTCTTCCACAGATTATTAAATATAGTATGCGTACTTAATGCATAAACTTTGGAAGCAGTTTGTCTCTTCAGAGGCAAATTTTCAACTTTTAGCCTCTTGAGCAGGCATGAATCAAATGTTTTAAAGTTTTGCATGGAATCCAGAGCTGATTTGTAAATCTGGTAACCATGTTTCCCTGAGTTTAGGGTTGCTTTACATACATATCTGTTTCCTTCAATTACGTGTTTCTGAGGAGCATAGTGTATCTAGTTAAGCACCTAATGTGTGCCTGTGTGCGTGTGTGTGTGTGTGTGTGTGTGTGTGTGTGTGTGTGTTTTGGTACCGGGGACTGAACTCCGGTCTTTGCACTTGCAACAAACCAAACCGCTGAGCTAAATCCCCGGCCCTTAAGCACCTAGTGTGTTTTGGCTCCATTGACCACAGTTCTAATATTGTAATGCAGCTCACCTCCATTGACTTGTAAATACATTACACATCCTGTTTGTCTCCCGTAAGTGGAAATCTATAGTTGGGGTTTGTGTGTCATTGTCTTACATTGTTTTCCATGTCTCATCCTCTTGGGCAGATCCATACGCAGGTTCAGTAACCTTTGTGTGAAGTGCTTCGGACCAGAAATCTTTTGGATTTTGATTTTTTTCACATTTTAGAATACTTGCATATACATAATGAGATATTTGGGCCTAGGACTCAAATATAAAAAGATTTATTCATGTTTCATAGACTCATATACAGTGTTGCTTGAAGGCAATTGTGTGCAGTATTTTACGCGTACCTCCGCTCTGACTTTGAGTTGTTACATGAGACCAGAGGCGGAGTTTTCTACCTGTGAGATCATATAGGTGCTCAAAAAGTTTAGGATTTATGCGCATTTTAGAGTCTGGATTTTCAGATTAGGGATGGTCCATCTGCCCATAGCCTGTATTGGAAACAATAGTCTTCTCAATAACTAAGTTGTTTTTCGAAGAATGAAAGTTTTTCTAGGGAATATTAATGCTGTATATGTAACAAATGAGAAAATTAAGAAGGATTTTGTTTTGTTTTCATCAGCTGTGTTTCCAGTTGACTCTGTTAAAGAAAATTATGTTCGTAAAGTGAAAAACTGTATTTTTTCAATTGCCTACCCTACTCCTTTCAAACCAAGAGTGTATCTTGCAGCAGCTTCAAAGGTTAGCCTTTATTTTTTTCATACCAGGAATTCTTAAGTAAAATATTTGTCTTAAAATGTATTTTTTTCCAGGATTAATATTG